CCCGCCTCTCAGGGTTTTCTGAGCTTGGCAGCAGGTACCCAGTGTTCACAGGATTGGAATCATGAGAAAGAACGGAGACCAGCAGTAGGCATAGTGATTAGGTACTAGACTTCCACGTGGTTGACCATGGTTCAAGTCCTGGACCTGGTAACTTGAAACTCATGCTGGGCGCTTGTATGTGTATATGCATGCCCAAAATCCTGAGAGAAGACTGGAGAAGGGATTGTGGCATGGTCACCTAACCCCAGGGAGGTGATTTCTTGCTTTCTGTCTTTCCAGCAAGCATACATGCCCATAGTAAAAAAATCTCTAAAAAAAATAAATAAATAAAAAAAGATGGCTTGGTCACCATGTGGACCCTGGTGACTGATCTATTGAGTTCATAGTCCCAGGATCAGAACTGCATGGATCTTAGAACATAGAACCTACCTCCCACTATACAGATGGGTAAACTGAGTCTCAGAGAGGTCAAGAACCCAAAATAAAAGCTCAGGTCTCTAGATTTCATCCCAGAGCTTCCTTCACCCATGCCACAGCCTGGGAATGGAATTAACATTTACTGAGGGCCTCCTGTTTGCAGGCTCAGCAGTGGGTAGGGGAGGAGAAGGGTCAGAGATGAGCCAGCACAGGCCCTGGCCTTCAGGGGCTCACCGCTTGTGGGAAGGGCTGGAAAGTACATGGCAAAGATCCAAGCTGATATAAAGTCCTGAGGTTCTGCAAGACCAGAGGTGGGAGGGAAGCAGACTTGCTGGCTGGGAGAGCCATACAGCAAGAGGACAGGGAGGAAGTGGCCCTTGAGCGTGACTGAGAGGGACAGGCAAGATTCGGAAGAATGGCAATGAAATGAATTCCGGGCAGAGAGGCCTGCAGACTCAGAGGAGTGTAGGGTGCTTATAGGATCCCGCAACGAGTAGAGAAGGGCAGGAAAGGGCTGGAGTCTGTGTAGCCTCCAGCGCTCCTCTCACCCCGCATCCCCATAACCTGGCCCGAACTCACTTACCTTTGATGAACTGGAGCACACTCAGGTCTGGTGCCATCTGGGCCATGCCACCCTGCTTCTCTGGGGACTCCCCAGGGCTCTGCTCAGAGGGGGAGTCCGCACCCTGAGGAGACACACAGCAAAGGGCAGAAGGCTGGATGCCAAGGATGGTGCAGAGAGGGCTGCAGGTGGGGGAGGGAGCTCTGGAGGAGCACAGGGTGGCTTTGTCACCTGTTGGGGAGACCTCCCCAGCAGTGTTCCATTTTTTTCTTGGTCCTATAGTACTCAATGAGTAGTTTTGAAAGAAAAAGTGCAAGTCCTGTTGTTAGGCTGTTTTTTAGCACCATCACCAGCACCCACACGACCAGCTGTCAGCACACCAAAATAACCACGAACGTTGCTATGAAAATGTTCTGCCATAGCCATACTGTTGCTATCATCTGAAATATCACCCTCATTGGGGCCAGCAGGTAGTGTGGTGGTTAAGGTGCTAGACTCCCACATGGCTGACTGCAGCTTGAATCCCAGACCTGGCGGCTTAAAAATCACGCCAGGTGCATGTGTGTGCATGCTCAAAATCTTGAGAGGAGAATGGAGGAAAAGGGAATGCAGCACAACCATGCTCCCTGGGGGGTGATTTCGCTGGAAATCTCTCTGTCTCTTTCTGGTGAGTGCATGCACCCTATGGCAAAAACACTCATTTATATCACCAATAACATCCTGGCTAAATGAACAATTTATTTGTGGTGATACTAGCTTCATGATACGATGATTATTATCATTGTCTCTGTCATGGTCACCACTCTTGGCACATCATTGTCATGATCACCTGAACTTTCAGGAGCACTGCCAGGGTCATGGCGATCAGAATCACCAGTACCATTGTCGCCACCTCTAATACTGTTATCCAATCACAGTCTTCACTGATATCAGTGTGGGCACCTCACCTGCACCGCCACTGCTGCCAGCACCACCCTCACAACGGTATCTCCATTACTTCCATCATTGCCATCAGTGTCACCTATCCCATCACCACCGTCATCAGTGTCACTGTTGCCCATTGTTAGCATCTTTTTTTTTTTCCTAGAGAGAGATTTTTGCTATAGGGTGCATGCGCTCACTGGAGAGACAGAGAGACAGAAAGTAAGAAATCCTCCCAGGTGGAGTGGCCAAGTCACAACCCCTTTCTTCCATTCTCCTCTTGTGATTTTGGGCATGCATGCACATGCACCTGGCATGAGTTTTATGCCGCCTGGTCTGGGACTTGAACTGCCATCGGCTACATGGGAGTCCAGTGATGTAACCATTACACCATCTGCTGGCCCCCTATTGTTAACACCTTTACCACTTTCATTGTTTCCACACCATCCACAGCACCAACATAGTGACACTACACCACTGTCTTCAGTTATGATGTCACTCATGACTGTCACCACCGAGAGAGTCACGAGGAGCTACAGCCTCCAGGGAGCGG